AGCCCCGGCACTTCTAAACAGATGAGGCCTGTATTGTCATTCGCTGCAGTTCAAGACTAAACATTCTTTCGACACATGTATTTTTTTTATAAAACATTACTTACTTGTAGATTTCAGCATACACATGCACTTATACATCTGGTTTTATTCCTACTCGTGTTTCACAGAATATATTTTGAACAGTTACACTATCCCACTGGCCACCAGAGTGACCAGGACTTAAATAAGACTCTGTGTGGCCACTAGTTTAAAGCAATGTGTCTTGTAACTGTACTTATGAAGGAACACATATAAATCAGATGAGGCCTGTTGTAGATTCTAACATTTACCAGCAAGACTTGAATAAGACCCTGAAACTTGATGTGTGGTCACTAATTTTAGCAAGTTGAGTGTTTTGTAAGTGTACAATACTCTAGACAGTAACATTCATATGAAGGAAATCTAAATCAGATTAGGCCTGTGATGTCATTCACTGAAGATCAAGATTATTATTTTTTTTACTCTTGTATCTTCTTTAGTGTATTTTATAAAGGATTACTTATTTGTAGATTCAAGCATAAACCAGCCCTGATATTTATCTGGTGTTTTTATTCCTACTGGGCTTACAGAGCATAGTAGCTATTTTGAACAATGATTAACTGAATATCTGCAGGTCTGGATAATAAAATATCTCCTGTATACAATACAGTAGCAACTTTTTTTTTCTCAAAAACCCTCTGAAATTAATACATTTTTCGGTTATAAGGACCAGGCTAAGCTCAATGAACCAGTTTGCGATTCCCAGTGAAGGTGCCCAAATTATCGTATTATGACACTGCTCATTATTTCTTTCTGTTTTCCAAGTGATTCTACCACCAGCTACTGTTCCAAGCTTTCTGGCTGACATGGAGAATCGGCATTATAGCACACGCTGGCAAGAGAATGATTGAATAATGGGGCGAATATAGCCACACGCTTTTCACTTCAGCCCTGCAACAGTTTGTATTGCTTCTCGTCGACACTTTGCCGTGCAGGAAGTTCGAGCGGCACAGCCCGACCGCGGGACCGGCGCCCGGGTCGCAAGCAGCGCAGCTGACGGGGTGCCCTGACGGGGTTTGGGGGTGCCCTGACGGGGAAGCCCGCAGCTGACTCTCGCAACGTGTTCCCCGGCGCACACGGCCGACAGCGCCGAGGGGAACCGAAATCGAAACAAAGCGGGCTCCCGCTCCGTTTTAACACGGCGGCGTGGTGTTCTTGCCCCCCCAAAGCAGTCGGATTCGCCCTGCGTTACTTAATCAGTTCAAGCCACAGTTTCTCAGCAAGTTGCTGGGCCTTCTTGACTTCTGAATGAGGTGCTGCGCCTGTCACTCACTCCATGATACCTCCGACGGGCTCCCGCTTTCCTCGGGCCGTGATTGGATCCGGCGGGCGCCGGGGGAGGGACCTTCCCGACTCGGGCTGTCAGATTGGCAAACCGAGGACAGAGCTGGTGTTTGCCTGCAGGTAGACGGGCTACAGCGACAGGAACACTGACACAATTGATCAAGACTAATTTCTTTCAGGACCGTCTCCAGGAGCTGGATTTAAAAGCCGGACGAGGCAGGGACGCTCTTCAGTGGGGGGTTTCGGCCAGGGAGAAAGCAGAAGCGGTCGCATGCGACGCCAGGCGCTGGAAATTCCCGTTTTGTCAGTGACTTGTCTTGGTTCACGGGCTTTTTGCGAAGAACTTCAAAAAGACTGCAGCCTGGGAGCGAAAGCAGCCCTCTTCCATCACAAAGAATGAAACCTTTCAAGAGAGGTGGGTTGCATATTTCGGCCTGGATCTTGTTCTTTTTGTGTGTGTGTGTGTGGCGTTTTCGAAGCGGGGCTTGTTGTAGGCGGACGGTGGCGAAGCCGCAAACGAGCCGTGCGCTCGGCTGTTGTTTTTAAAAGGAATGCGGCTTTTTGTTGCGAGTAAATGCAGCGTGTGTTTGGGTTTGAATTTGGAGGGACAGTTATGTTTGGAAGCAAGCATGGTGTCCATCTGGCGGAGCCAAGGAGAACAGTCGGGAGAGGGGAGGGTCGTGTGTGTAAGGGGGCTCTTTGTACTTTTTTAATGTATTTTTTTGGGGGGAATTGTGTTGAAATGCATGGGTTCAGCTCAGGATTCCCCCCCCCCTCCCCACGGTTTTGTAAGTCGTAAGCACAATAACATCGAGCTGTGTCCGGGCCAGAATATTTGACGGCGTAGTCCGGTTTATATATTGAATAAATGGGGAAAATGTGACCACCCAACAAAAGGTAGACTGGAACGGCTCCGTCTTTTTAAAGTTTTAGGTCTGTTTCTCTTGCGGATTCGCAAGCGATTCTATTTGTATTTTTCGAGTAATTAAGTAATTGCTCACATTTAAGGCGCAAACTCCCGATGACCATAAATACGAGGGTAGCCCTGATTAAATTGTAAAATTATGACTTGTGTGCAAGTCACACAAGTTGGGTCATCTAGCTTGTTTTCCTCTCCAGTTGTGAGGATGTGCAGTTTGACGTGCTCTCCCAGAATTATTTTCCGAAGCCACGTTTCTGCCGCTGAACTTTTTTGACAGCTTGAGAAATCCGCGCAGCTTCCTTTTTTTTCCTATTTACTATAAACAAAGACGGTGTTCAGGCTTCTGCCAGGTTCGTTTCACATCGTCTAAAGCGTGGAAAGGGGGCGATTTGGGGATGAATGTTTGACTTTTAACATTCCTGCGAACTATTAATGGCAGCGTAAATGCAGAAGTGTAAGCTGCTCCAGATACTAATTCCGACAGCCTCTTTGATTCAGCTCCGTTTAGATTCAGCCCTGTTAATCCAGTGGATCTTGTATCGAATCTTACGCTGTTTTTATTTTTAAAAACGTTTCCGAGGTAGAACAGGCCGTCCTTGTCCACCGGAGCTCGCTTCCACAAGTTACCCTCACAAGTTATCGCCGACTTCGACGAGTCCATTCAGAGCGACACAACTTGTAGCTTCTCCCCCCTGTGGGAATACACACGTGTGTCTCGGGCATGATAGCGTTTCGAGTTTTGAACGGGGCTACAGCCAGCTGTACCGCCCGTTGCTACACGTTTTCAGTGCCCAGACCCGCACCTTTCCAAGGCGGTACAGTATCGGCCGTGGCCGCTCGGTTATACCTGCCCCGGGGCCACGGGATTTACGGCAGCGCGCCGCCGTGCGAGACGTGCTCGGCTCTCCCCCGGGCGGACGGGGGATGCGCATTGTCCCCTTTGTCAGGGCTGCCCGGAGGAATTCCCGTATCCTCCGCTGCGCTGTGGATCAGATTACAGGAGGGGGGTTACAGCTTCCCTTGCACAAGGGATAGCAAACGATTCAGTGCGCGCAGACCCGCAAGACTGCTGGCTCAAACGTGTCACTCGGAGTTGACTTCTGGGGAGGTGCGCGTACGCAGAGTAACGGCTTGCAAATCAGTTTGTACTAGCGGGTTTGGGTGAAAGTGGTAACTTTTTGTTTTTCACGCGTTCGTGGAGTGGATGAGAGGCAAACAAGCGTTCCTTTCATTCAAAAACATGTCCCACCAGAGAAAATCGCTATTATTACAGAATTTTTGTTTTTGCGGGTCCTGCATGCTGGGCTGGGTCACCAGGTGTGTAGATTAACCGCGGCGCTCTGTTTAGTGTGTTGTGAAAGGTACGTGTGGTTTTGTGGAGCTCATTCGCCTTGGGTTTTGGGTCTGGCCTTGGGCTCGCTTCGAGCTGAGGAGGAAAGATCCATGACGGTACAGTATACCGCCATGGGAACACGTTTCTTGTCAATAATAACGTACGTATGAAAAGGAGTATCCAAAAGACAAGACATGAGTTGAGCGCATACAACGTATTGAATACATAAACTGTTGATAAACTATCAAATCTCTCCATAAAATTAGATGTGCTGATTGAGCTGCCAAACTGTTTGATATTCACTTGTAGTCATTTACAAAGAACCAGAGGTTGGAGGTCTTGCACATAATTACACAGCCCTTATTAAACTAAAGTCTGAGTTGATAAAAGATGCCTTTGTAGGCGTATAGCATTTAGCAACATTGCCCCGTAGTATCCCAGAGCAGTCCAGTCCTGCCACACTGAATAAAATCCTTTGAAGCAGTAGCCACTGAAGAAGAGCTGGTTAAAGCAGTTAATCTAGCCATCATTTACTAGCTGATTCTGCTTTCTTTAATAGCTGAGCTGTAAAGAGTATCTGAAGGCGCACCAGCTGCCCAGTACTGATTGAACACTTTTGTTGTATCTTTAGTGTCCTCCCAGAAACTAAATGCATCAGGTCTGGCTGGTATCGGCATGGGGGACTTCTAAAGAACGGTTTTGGTGTTGCTGGCCCGGTAGGTGGCACCCTTCCTCCTGGACTAGAAAATTGTCTCGCGGTGGTTACTACAGACACTGTCCTGTAGGAGGTGTCCGCCTTCAGTTCTGACATTAAAGATCCCATGGCAGTGTATAACCCCTGTCTCCTGGCTAAACTCCAGGTCACAGGGCCCAATCTGGCCTCTGAAATGTCTTCTTCATGTGATTAGTGAAGCAGTTTCTCACTTCTCCACTCCATCTGCCTCATCCTGGGGCTGCTGCTGTTACCCAGGCGAGATAAGTGAAGTGGCTTTCCCTCCTGAATGCTAAGTGCTTTTCACCGATCAGCTCTTTCCTGCTGGTCTGTGATGGCCTGCTGCACACCTCGGTGATTCTGGATCAGGTGGCCGTTTGCCTTGCCCCATATTTAACAATGGAGGCGCTAACGAGCACTGGAGACCCTGCTGTGCTGTGCGTCTTGACTGGCCGTTGCTGCTCGATGGTAATGCACACAGCAACAGGCCTGTTTACAAATGGCCTGCAAACAGTGAACACGCATAGAGCAACCACTTCACTGGGCAGAAAGCTGCTGGGCCTGGTCAGTTTCCCTTTGCCTCACACTGAGCCCCCATTCAGCCTTTTTAATTATATTTCTAACAGTTTCTGAAAGCGGGTTTACCTACCTCCTTTCGCTCCATCAAGGCAGTTTATTAACTGTTGCTCCCGTTAATTGGCAAGTTCAGCAGTGCCGTTAAGATGCTGCTCTCTGTTGGAAGTGTGGAGCTGGAAGTATCTGCTCAGAAACCGGTTCATGTGCTTTCTCGGCCTCCAGCACGGAGCCCGCACGACCTTGTGCGTCTCTGCGCTCTCCAGGTGCGTAGGCCCCAGAAAACCGTTGGACGTCGTGAAGCACGGAACTGTATCTGGGGCTCCCACTCTTAACTGGAGAGCTCCAGACCTTCAGTAATCATGGGGTGGGTGGCCACCAGTCAGTGGCTAAAGCACAACCTTTTAATTTGCTTAATTGAGCGATTGGAGCACACTCCCGAAAACTCTGTAGGATGCAGACTGGAGATCCTGATACTTTGTTAAATGGAACCTGTCTGAGCCACTGTTGCCCTACCCCCCATCTCGCCACCTTCGCTCTTCTAATTCTGGTCCTAATCTGTCCCCCAAGCCCGTCTACACTCCATGGGTGACTGGGCCTTCTCCTGCTGCGCCCCCAAAGCTCTGGGACTCTCGCCCAAGTATATCACAGAGTCACCTTCTCTACACCCCTTCAAATCCAGACTCTGACCCTTCTTCTTTAGAAGAGCCTTTACTGAACTGGTTCTGTTCTTTCCCCCTCTGCTCCTACTGTATTCAGTACCCCCATCTACCGTCTCCTCATTGTGTATTCTCATTGTGCATATCTTGTGTATTTTTTTGTTGTTGTCATTCTGTAAGACACTTTTAGAAGCCACGTTTAAAGGCGCTGTACAAAAACAAAAGTTTACCTAGGTTATTTAATAATAATAATGTAGTGTGGACAGGCCAGGACTAGAAGGCCTCAACGAGTCATTCACCAGGTCTCGCGGTTTCTTACGTTTGACTCCTCGGCCCGCTGTCTTCCAGCCCCCCAGGACAAGCGCCCCTCTCCGCCCGACCTCTCGGCGGTATCGGACAGCGACCCGTGCGAGGACGACGGGGACGGCGACGGGTCCCCCCTGGACGCGCAGGCGGGCCCGGGGAAGCGCCGGCGCCGCGGCAACCTGCCGAAGGAGGCAGTGCGGGTGCTGCGCGGCTGGCTGTACGAGCACCGCTTCAACGCCTACCCCTCGGAGCAGGAGAAGCTGAGCCTGTCGGGCCAGACCGGCCTGTCCGTGCTGCAGGTGAGACCGCGCAGGGGGCTCGGAGCAGAGCTGGTCCCGCGCCTGTTAATAATGATAATTCCTGACGCTTATATAGCGCCTTTCTGGACACTCCACTCAAAGCGCATTACGGGTCATGGGGATCCCCTCCAGCACTGCCACCTGGATGATGCGACGGCAACCATAGTGCGCCAGTACGCTCACCACCCACTCAGTGGGGAGGAGAGCAGAGTGATGAAGCCAGTTCAGAGATGGGGATTATTAGGAGGGCATGATTGGTAAACGCCAATGGGGAAATTTGGCTCCTGAGTCAGTCCCGCAGGCCGAGCCAGTCTGAGAGGGGATCGGGAGGACCGGTCAGGCTCAGCCTGATTAATAATAATAATAATTCCTTACACTTATATAGCGCCTTTTTGGACACTCCAGTCAAATCACTTTATTGGGGATCCCTCCACCACCACCAGTGTGCAACCCCACCTGAATAATACGCCAGTACTCGCACCACACACCAGCTCTCAGTGGTGATGAAGCCAGTTCAGAAATGGGGATTATTAGGAGGCCATGATTGGTAAGGGCCAATGGGAAATTTGGCCAGGACACTTGGGTTACACCCCTACTCTTTTCGAGAGACGCCCTGGGATTTTTAATGACCCCAGAGAGTAAGGACCTCTGTTTAATGTCTCATCCGAAGGACAGCGCCCTTTTACAGTGTAGTGTCCCTGTCGCTATACTGGGGCATTAGGACCCCCACAGACCGCACCCTAATGGCCCCTCTAATCCTGCTTCCAGCAGCAACCTTAGTTTTTCCCAGGAGGTCTCCCCTCCAGGTACTGACCAGGCTCACACCTGCTGAGCTCCAGTGGGGCTGCAGGGTGATACAGCTGCTGGTATAAGATGTTTTGGCTGGAATCAAGTGCTCCATCTGTTCTTATAAGTTCAATTCAAATTAGTTTATCAGCTGAACGTAGAGCCCTAGGCCTTGAGTGAGGCCCTGTGCCCCAGTGGCCACAGTCCACCCAGCCAAGGAGATGTGGAAACGGAGAAGCGCTTCAAGTGCTTTCTCTGTTTCCACCTCAGCCCCTGCCTGGGTGTGAGGAGCTCAGAGCGGGCAGCTGCCTCTGACTGCGCTGTTAGGGAGCCCAGAGGGGTTTATCCTCTCGAAAGAGGGAATGATGGTACAGGAGAGAGGAATGATGGTACGGGTGTCTGAGGTGGGGCAGGGCACACAAAGCTATACCTAATAAAATTAGCAAGGAGCCTTTATTCAGGTACAGAGTGCCTGCTGGTGCACTTCACTGCCAGTACAGCTTTACAGTGGGGATATCCACAGGTGCACAGACTGCTTAAGTGGTGCCGAGCTGAAAAGCATTCAGGTTGTGCCTGGTGCCCTTTAGTCTGAAATTGTCATAGCCAAAGATTGTGAACTTGGTGATTTAGGCCCAGAGCCTTGTTAATGCCAGCTGTTGGAAGCCTTTGTGACCACTGGAGGGCGCCAGTCTTACTCACTTGATGGAGGAGAACAGCCAGCCAGGCAGGGAAAGTCTAAGGAATCCGCCCGTCTGCTATTGGGCTTTTCTTGATAAACGGAATTAAAGCCCCGTATCTATTTTCCTGCCTTTTTATTTCTGTAGCTTTTCAGTTGCACCAGGCTTTTCGAAATCGTCCTCGGTTGTATTTTATTCCTGAAAAGATGGGAGATAGACCGGAGTCTTCTCAGCTATGATATTGCACCTGTACTGAGCTTTTACTTTTCAGAAAACTACGAACAGTGGCGGGGAGATGCAGATTTCACTTGAGAAGCTGTGGCCCTTGTGAAAAATAAAAACGTTTTAATCTGGCCATAGCTTTTTTTTTTTAAAAAAAAGAAAACAAAAGCGGCTTTTGTAGGAGGTGGGAGGCGAAGGCGTGTTTGTTCCTCCTGCTGAGCGCTCTGTGTTTTCCTTCCCGCAGATCTGTAACTGGTTCATCAACGCTCGCAGGAGGCTCCTGCCCGACATGCTGAGGAAGGACGGCAAAGACCCCAACCAGTTCACCATCTCCCGCCGCGCGGGCAAAGTCCCGGAGGTGCGCGGGGCAGGGAGAGCCAGCCCCTCGGACAGCAGCCCCTCCCCGCTCCCGGCCCTGCGGCCCTCCGTCATCCGCCCCGCCCCCGCCCTGGACCTCGCCCTCCTGGGCAGCACGGCCGCCGCCATCTTGGCGGGCGCCGGCCGCCTGACCCCCGCGCCGGGCTTCCTGAACAGGCCATCGGCGCAGAGGCTGGTGGACTTTTACAGCCCCGCCCCCCTCCTGGGGAAGACGGGCGAGCCCGCCCCCTCGTCCCCGGCAACCAGGCCGGATTCCGCCAGCCCCACGGGGGGGCTGTTCAACACCCCGCCCCCCACGCCCCCGGAGCTGTGCCCGCAGGACTTCAGCGACCTGCGCATGCTGGTGGACGCCGCCCTGCAGCGGGCGGCCGAGCTGGAGAGCCAGCAGAGGGCCCAGACTGGCGAGGGGGCCCCGGGGAGACCCCAGAGCCAGCCCCCCGCGGCTGGGCCGGACACTGCCGCCGCTAGCGCAGGGGGAAGGAGCGCTGCCAACAGCGGCAGACAACAGCGCTCCTCCGGCCCGGACGGCGCTGTCAGGAGGCCGGAAGGGGGCGCCCTGCCCTCTGGGGGGCGCGTGCTGCTGGAGCAGAGCCCGTGGAGCGCTGAGGGCGCCCAGGCCAGGCCGGGGCCACACGCCTCGGCGCCCTGTCTGTGGGGCCCCCAGCACAACCTGCTGGCCGTGAGAGAGGCCGTCAACTAGCGCCGAGTCTGTGCTCCTGCCTCAGTTCTTCTCTCTCCCCGGAGCGATCCGTTCCTTCTCCTGACCCGTCATCCTGTTGGGAGAGAAGATGCGGGCTGGGCAGCCTCTACTGCATGTCGAGTACTTCCAAAGTATGCCTTCGCAATCTTCGAGATCTTTCTTTTTTTCAATCCAGGCGTCCGGACATCTGTGAGTCCCTTGTTACACATGGTGCGAGCAAACCTGTGCCCAAGAGGATGGACCTAGAGGACAGTCTTTCTGCAGGTGCTCTGGGCCGACTACGTTATTAGGGCTTTTTAAAAAAAAAACTATTGCAGCATCCGGAAGATGTCCTGGATTTCAACACTGTAAAACCGCATTCCAAGGATTCTGGCAAGTTTCTGGTTTGAAGGAAGGAATGTAGATGTTTTCCTAATGAAATGGAGAAACGGCAGTTGGATGTTCTTTCGTAGTCTTGCCCAGAATGGATATAACTAAATGTCGTTCTGATAAGTTTTTTTTTATTTTATTTTTATTTAATTTCGGGGGGAATTTGAGGGGAGGTTCTAAAACTATTCTTGGATTATTCCAATATCCGTTTTCTCAAAACTAAAGATGTGAAGGCAGGCAGGAGATAATCTGTGATCGTGATACCGTGAAGCTCAAATAAGGCCTGTTGGAGTCTGAGGGAAATGCTGATGTTCTGTTTATGTTAGTGCTACCAGCCCAGTTTTAACCTGATCACGACCAGCACTGGACTTGTGTGGGATTGCATTAAAACTAAAGGGTCCTGCTGTTTGATAGGTCCTGCTGTCTCCCTGTTAAAGCTGAATCTTAGCACCATGAATGTCCTTGGGAACAAACATGCCCCTTTTTAAGAAACCATCTCCTCTGCATATTGCTGCACAGTGGGCAGATTGATCGTGTTCTCTGTCCTGTTTGTCCAAGAGGCTGCTGAGACGGTCGTCTGCTCAGGTTTAAAAGTAAAGCCTCTTCAAGTCTCTTTTGTTATCTTGTAGAAGAACAGGACTCTGTCCCTCTACTGTAAAACTGTGAAGTTCCCTCAACAGTAAGAATTTAATGTAAGTGTGTTGCTGGTGACAAACTGTTGAAAACCACGCTCACTCATAAAAATCAACCACACCAGGCTTTTGTACTTTACTTTCTCAGTTCCTTCGCACTGCTTAGAGTGAATCTTGTATTCGTGCCTCTTCAGGTGACTGTAGTTTCCATTGAAACAGAACTATTGTTCCTATGTTTTCTGCTGCTGCTCCCTTATCCCCTGTTCTCCTGATGCTGACTTGTATGTGTGAGAGTCTGTGTGACTTTGTTTTATGTGCTTACGCTTGATGCAGTGTAACACAGAGGCACCACTGAATGATCTTGACGATTTAGGACTTCTTGAAGAAGCGACCAGTAAAACGAATGAGTTTGTTTAAATTTTCAGCTGATTTGCTCCAGCTCTTCCAGCCCCATGAGAATGTGGTGCGCTTGGTCACTGGGCATTGCCAGTGACTGCAGAGACACAGACTTTCAGGTAGTAGGAAGGGAGATAGGCCCAAGGGAAAAGCTTTTCTTGTATGAAGACCTTTTGTCAGTGGGGATCAAAACCTTTCTCCAGTTTTATAAGGGAAGTTTATTTTTGTGATGCTCGTCTTGCAGGTAAAGATGTGTATATATAATGTACCTTTTTTTTTTTGAGGGTGGGGGTGAGAGGAATGGACCATACAAATTAAATTTTAGATATTCCAGTCATTTTATTTCCATGTAGCTCCATGATCTAGATTCTCTCTACCCCCCCCCAGTCCTGTTTTCAGTTTTACCTGCTATAATACTGGATTTTCAGCTTTTTGTTTTTCCCTTTCTGTAGAATGTAAAATTATACATCAAATGTAGCTGCTAGGTAAGTGTAAGTGCTGAAGGTGCCATATCTGCCTATTTAAATGCGTGTGTCCATGACTTATTTGGGCATTTACTGTGGCATACAGTTCAGTGTAGCTTATATCAAATTTGACCAAATGTGTTTGGACTGCCTGGTGCTCTGGAATCCCTCTGCCAGAGGAACATGCTGATCATCTGGACTGTCTGATGTTTTTAAATCACTCCTGCGCAGGGACACGCTGATTGTTTGGATTCCCTGGTGTTCTGAAATCTCTCTTGCCCAGGGACACGCTGATCGCTTGGATTCCCTGGTGTTCTGAAATCTCTCTTGCCCATGGAC